GAGGTCTTCATTCCTGAGGACAGAAGACGGGGGGGAACTCGTCACTCATCACGCTCGCCACCAGCAGCTCGACCAGAGGTGGAGTGAAAGCGCCGCGCTAACACCACCCGCCCCACAAACGCCATCGTGGGCGCCAAACGGCACGCTGACCATGCGCCCGGTGAAAGAGCGGGAAGGTCCCGCCTCCCGGGTCAGCAGCAGCAGGCCGCGCCGATTGGTCGGCTAATGCTAGCACGCAGCGGCTGAGCCGCAGAGCAAAGAAACGTTGTTGTTGCATTAGAAGCCTGTTTTAGACACTTTATTCCACCGTCGCATCGGTTCCCGTGAATTTTTGTACCGGAATTCCAGCCTCTGCTGTACTTTCAGTTACATTACCGCGGCGAGGAAACAGCGTGTTAGCATCGTTGCTTTGAGCATGTTAGCACGCTGCCGTTAGCACTGAAGCGCCACAGAGTAAGAGGTGAAGAGTGTGGGATTTAGTCCTGCCATTAGATAATAAAGATATTTTAAAACTTCAATAAGAATATACTTAAAAATCTATTTATACGCTTCAACTAGATACTGTTCAAGAAATCTGGGATCCGCCACAAAGCTCCTGATCCATTTAATACAAAACATATTAACCATTAGAAAATAACAAGAGCAATGAATTCAGATAAAAATGAGAGATTAGAGTAAATCATTTGCACTACAAATCCTACTGAAACATGCTTTTACATTCGGTCACGTCTAAATGTGTCCACAAAGAGTCCTAACGAGTCCCAGCTTCTTTTTTAAACGACAACCAACCGAGCTGACCAACATTACGAGCTGAACCGAAAAGGTCCGGGGGCCCCGTCACAGTGCTGTGGGACCTCGCTACAGTACCCGGCTTTGTGCGTCTCCTCGGGGCCCCTCTTGGTGTGCGTGAGGGCCCGCTCTTCCTGACTCGGCTCGGCCTTCAGAGTGAGCTGTAAGTTCTCGGCGGACATCAGCGCCGTCCTCATGGCTCCCGCCGCCTCCGAGCGCAGACAGAAACCGACATCCATGCCGGCCTTCCCCCACGCTGTGTGTGTGTGTGTGTGTGTCTGTGTGTGTGTGTGTGTTCGCTGTCTCAAGAATAGAGTCCACAAAGCGCACTGGCTGTACTTGGAGGAACTCAAGAGTGAAACAGATAATTACTTTCCGTCAGGCTGTGTGCCCTGTTCTCTCGGCTCTTATTTACAAGTTGTCTTCTCGACTCAGTTCTTCTTCAGAAAGCCGTCGCCGCTGAGGGAGACAGAGAGAAAACAGCGGCTTCCTGCCCGTCATTCACTGCTGCCTTCCTCTTCTCATGGGCGAAAAAGAATAAGAGTCACAAGATGCCCAGACAGCTGCGCTAATGGCGTGTCATACTCCTGCTCGCTCTCTCTCTCTGCTGGGGTCCCACGTTGCCTCTGAAACATCTGAAGCAGATGTTTGTCGCCTGTCGCTGCTCTGATCTTCCCGTACGTGGAGATCTTCTCTCTGGAAACGCGGATATGTCACCGGCCTCGCCGCTGCGATTGTGACTCAGTCTCTTTGTGTGCGACTGTGGTCACTTTCCTCGAGGGGAAAGAAAAAAAAGAGAGAAGGAGGGCCCTTATCTACAACTGTAAACAGAGAAACTTTTCATCACCTCCGCCGCACAAAAAAACGAGCTGGGCCGACAGGACGGGCCTCCAGCCCAGATAACCGCCCGGGCTGAATGTCAGGAAGTACCCGGGAGAGGGAGTGCTGCAGGGGGGGCAGTTTGCTTCCCTCCCTTTCTCTGGGAGTCTCCGGCCGCTTCACGAGGCGGATAAAGACATCACACGGTCAATATTTTCAGACGTTATGAAATGTGTTATTGTCATGGCCATCTAGCCCCTCTTTTAGCCCGAGCACATAGAAAATAGTATAAATATAACAAACTGTATGAATAGTTGGTTTAATATACCATAAATTAAACCAACAGATTGAGGATTTTTTTAAATACATGAAAATGACAATGTACCCTCTTAAAAAAAGCCAGAGGTTTTAAAAGGGAAAGTGTGAAACCAATAAGTGCATAACTGCTCATGTCTGGGAAGGAATACCTCACACAGATCACCTGAATCATCTTACATGACAGGTGAAAATGTCGCTGAGGTTCGGCCGAGCCAAGATTCAGCTTCAAAATCCTAACTTTTAATGCTGCACAAATTAAACTAAACCACTCAGCCACAGTGAAACGTCCCTTTAGGCTCGGATAATAAATCAGTCACATGTTCTCATGCCTGGTGACAAGTCCTGGCGTGGAGCTCTGCGCCAGCAAGAAGAAGCCTTTGACACAAATAAAGTGCAGGAATGCTGCCGTGTGACAAACGATCAGGAGTTTCAAATAACAAAAGCTTGATTTGACACTTTAATGAACAAATATGCAGCAAATTAAAGCCTGTGTGGGGTACACAATCTTTTTTTAACAGGCTTTGTGAATTGTGTTGGACAGACAAACAGAAGCATCATTCATGTCCTTATATATATTGTCTCTGGTCAACCCAGTTGGGCCTAGATGCAGGACAACATATGACCAAGCTAAGTGAGTAGATGCTCATGTGAGACGGATTGAGAAGGTCCCTTTAGCACACGAGATCCTGCTGCAGAGATCCCTCCGAAACTAAATCACAGGCTGCAGTGTGACCTCACACTCACCTTTGTAAGGATATTTTTATTACCCGTGTTCCTGGGTTAGTATTACCAAATAGAAGCCGCAATACTGACCTGGCACCTAAAACCTCACCCTGTGCAGCTCATGTGGTCGGCTGCCTTCTCTAAACACAGAGAGGCGAAGCTGCATAAAACCTGATTTTAGAAGAGTGGTGGTTGCGCTGATGGTTGGCTGCCCTCCAGTGGGGGGTTTCTGAGATGAAACTAAAAATAACGTGCCGACAACCTGGTTGCAGCTTTAAACTAGCAAAAAATGAATTTAACATGGTTCTGACCAGCTAACCGGGACGTGAATATAGGAACTAAGAGATGTTTTCTTTCTAAAGCATTTCAGTTTCACCTGAAAAAGCGCCAGAGAAACAGATCTATAAAACGGTGACTATAAAATAAAGAGATTACACAAAAGTTAAAACAGTTAATAAGGATTCAATGCCTTGTAGCTGTTCTATATAAAACACTATAACACAGATATTGTCATTTCAAAACGTAATGATCAGTTTTGTCACAGGTTGTAAATGAAGAAGGAATCTGAATGAATTGAATTAATCTTATATCGAAGTCACCAGGCTGCTAATACAACTCTTAGGCACAAAGCCTGCCAACAACACGTGACACTAAACATCATAAAACACTGATCACACGCAGAGACACGCCACTGCTGACAGTCATCTACTAGAGAACTAATCTTTTATAGTTGTTACGTTATGTCATCTATTCATAGTGTACTCACTGCTGCAGAGTGTATGCAGGTCTGCATCACGATGGTTGTATTATTGTGTCATGAGGGCTTGCAAGGCAACATAAATCCATCAAAGCAAGAGACAAAAGCTCACATCAGCTGTTTTCAATGGGGAATTTTTTTGAACCTGGATACCAATACCAGCTCTGAGAGTTAACATGTTAATATTTAATAGTTTAAGATGAACTCAGTTTCCAGTTATTATGTCATACAATAAATCCTCATTTTCAAGATGTCACTTTGTGCTGCTGCTGAACTATTTTATAAACAATTTGATTTATTATGATTATTTGATTTTTATACCTTTGAGGTAATTCAAAGATGCACCTTTGTTAAATCTCATTTATATGCAGTAAATTGGGAGGGCAAAATGTTAGATAAACCTGTCAACATGATGATGATCATAGTTTATCAACCTCCTTGTTGAAAAGAAAATGGCCATTATTACCTTCATATGATTAGTTGCAGTAATGTTGTTGATCATTCCTTTAAGCTAGTTTGACCTAATAATCGGTCACGTGACTTGGTACCGACCTGTCGGCGTGACGTTAACCGACACGAACCTGTGGCCAAGAAAAGGCTGAAACAAGGACCGTTATTGTCAGTTAGCTGTGCTCAGACCGACGGCTAACGGCCGCATCACCGCCCGGCTCGTCTATCTCCCCCCGGACGGACGACTAGCTGACGTTAGACGGCGGGCGGAAGACATGCTAAAGCTAGCTTACTTTTTAAAGTCAGCGCTGAAAAGTCCGAAGGCTGCTCCGGTGCTGCCGGAGGAGGTCGGGGTGCTCTCCAGCCCCGCTTCCACGGCAGCCTCCGCTCCTCCATGGTCGTTGTACAAGGCGGTCGTCGACATGCTGGCGGCGTTTAAACGAAACAAAAAGCCTCCCAGGTGTGTTACGTTATATTCGGCTTTTAGGACTTCGCAATGGACGTAGACGGTTTCCGAGTTGTGGCGCATCAAATTCCTGCAAACCCCCCCAAAACTTCTCCGAGATTTCAACCAACTTTTTCTTTTTTTTTTTCCTCGCGCACACAGTACCGGAAGTGTGAGCTGGACAAGTCGGTGTCACATGATATGACGGGACATAGATCTAGCATGGCTAGAACCAAACTGTTTAGTTAATCCACGCAGCGCCTGTAAAGGGCGTCTAGAATGCATAGGTCTATACTGAGTCTCTGCGTTGCCAGGGCAACAACGGCTCATGTCAGAGAAGACAGAAAGCGAATTTGCGTACGTGTCTAACGTTTTCTACGTAAAACAACCAAAGAAAAAACAGATTTTCCTGCCGGGTTGTAAGACATTAAAAGTTTTAAAAGTAAAATTTGTTCTTTACAAAAAATATACTGTAAGTATCAAAAACGGCTCAGTATGGCGCATGACAATTGCAGCTTAATGTAGTATATTTAGCTTTTAATCTAAAATTAATAAATCATCAAAATGAATGAAAAAAAAACAATTAAAATGCAATAATGTGATTAGTATGTCTCGCACCGTAGGTGTATTTACGTCTGGACTTGTAAGGGGACGTGTCTGTACTTCCGCCTGACGTCGCGTTCGCACCACACGTGATCTGCCGCTCGCGACCAATCCCGACCGCCTGTCTGGTCACCGACAGCGCTCGACTCCTCCGGCCGGTTGTGTGTCATCGATCTCACGGCGAGTCGGGCTGCGTCTCTTTGGGAGGAGGCGGGTGGCAGGAGTATCTAGCTCCAACTTTGTTTGTAATTCATTTTGTTTTGTTGTCTTGGGAACGTCCGCCCCTACGCGTTGGAGAGAATGTCAGATTTCGACAGCAATCCGTTCGCGGACCCGGAGATCGACCACCCGTTCCAGGTAACGTCAGCTAGCTGCGTTAGCCGCGCTAGCGTTAGCGTCACCGCTATTTCACGTCGACACCGTCGCCCTTCGTCCGGCTCAGCTTGTGATAAAAACCGAACGCCCCTCGTCTATTAACGCGAGTAACCAGGAGCAACCAGGAGCAACCAGGAGAGGCCCCGTCTTCCGGTACAGTCTGTCGGTCAGTTTCGGCTCGCTCTGGTGTGACATCACGAAAGGGTACCTGGAGAGGTGCGTTAGCTTAGCTTGTGCTAGCCGTCCTCGCGAGACCGCAAGGTGTACGGCGCTATTAGAAAAGCTTCTGCTACTTGGACCTTTTAACTTTCGACGTTCCGCCTGACGTCACACCCGGAGCCACTGTATGTGTTTTAGATCCACTAAACCGCAGTTGAAATGTTCCTCTTCTCTATTGATTAGACATTACATACATGTGATCATTGGATCAGGTTTCCACAGTGGACATTCAGTGGATACGTTTAACATCTGCGATTAAAACACCCATTTTGTTTAATCTCTACTAAATGGATAAATAAATAAGAGCAGAAGATGCACGTTCCACACCTCTTTATGCTGCTTTAGTTTAGCACGGACCAACGGAGTGCTCGTGGTGTCCTGTCATGGCAAAGGAAATGAGAAGCGTGCTTTGGATCATGTGCTCAAAGCGCCGCACATCTGGCTCCCTGTGATGGGGCTTCCTCCCCGTTTCCTCCATCACATCTGGTGTATTAGACGTGGCCACAGTGACAGCAGCTCCCGGGCGGTGTCATTAGAGTTATTCGGTTTGATAATTTACTATTTGTGTGATTAACCTTCACAACATTTGAGTATTCCATGTTCTCAAATGCAACAATGATCTACTACTTATATGAGTTGGGGACTCACAACAGAAACAATAATTGTTTTTCAGTTCAATGATATCCTTACAGAACTTATTTATAAAGACTGTGCCAAACATTATTTCATAAAGATGTAATATAAAAAAGACACACCAGACACAACTGGCATTCTTAACATAAAAATAAATATATAGCATCGTTCAACCAATTTCTCTCCTTTTGATTGAGTTAGAGTGAATTGTCTTGAAGACCTTCTGCATCTCTCCCCTTTCAGAAGCATCAATGTCTCACAGAAACCTAAAAGGTGTCCACCATCTTGCTCGCCGCGCGTGTGACGCTGGAAGATGCCGCCGTCCAGATGCAGGCAGTGAATTATTCATGGTGTCTCATTAACATACTGACGTGACTCGTGAACCATCTTCCTGCCGTTTGTTGGCTGACGCTTCTTTTAGTTTCCCCCCGAGGAGAAACGGAGCTCTGTTCCCTTCTCTGAGCTATCGTCAATACTTCATGAAGTCATATGGTGCCGTCGTGGCGGCATGTGGCGCTAGGACCGCCGCCGGCGTCTTTGCCGCTAAATTTAATCACTCACATTCACGCATCATTGTGATGAGACGGTAATCTCGGCTGGAGATGATGCACTGGGTGGTGTGTGCGTCTCTTGTCTGTCCACAGCTCGTCTCGCACGCTGCTGGACGCGTCGGCCTCACGGCGTTGTTCTGCCCTCTTAATGAGTGGGTTGAACTTTGGGGAGAGCATGTTGCGTGTGGCTGCAGGTCGGAGCTCTTGTCTGGCTCGGCGTTCCGGGGTCGATGGAACCCGTGGACGTCATGAAGCCACGGACGTCCTTTAATCACACGCAACGCCGTCCGACACCGTGCACGAGGCAAAGCGACGAGGCAGACGTACAACAGGAGGACGCTTTTGGGTTTAACCGCAGATTTCAAGAGGAAAACTTGAATGCGCTTGTTTGGCTGTGCAATAGGGCGACATTAAACATTGAGATACGCTGAAATATTCATCACCCTGGTCTGGTGACAAGTTGCTGTGTGTGTGTGTGTGTGTGTGTGTGTGTGTGTGTGTGTGTGTGTGTGTGTGTGTGTGTGTGTGTGTGTGTGTGTGTGTGGAGCAGAAGAGATGCTCTCAGATCAGAAACACAAGAGTCAGACGACGCGAAGCGCTGAGCACGATACCGACTGCACTGCCGATTGGATGCGACTCTCGAGCGGCGCTTTGAATGAAACTTGTCCGTGATGGTAAGCTTTGGATAAACAAACCGACGTGTCAGTACATCTGACGCCGGCAGGAATGTTAGTTTCAATGCTAAGCTACGTAATGTAAAAGTGGAGAACACGCCGTGAGTAAACATCGCAGCGCCGTGAGTCACCGCGGAAGAGGCTGAACAATGCCGGGGTTTTCTGAATGTCTTAGTGACGACCTTTATTCCACCGTGTGTGTGTGTGTGTGTGTGTGTGTGTGTGTGTGTGTGTGTGTGTGTGTGTGTGTGTGTGTGTGTGTGTGTGTGTGTTTAACTATTGAGAAGTGAAACCGTCTCTCACGGGACTTTGAGATCATAGTTGTTCGTCCTGCGAAATTAAGAATGAGCCCAGAAGCATCTGAGAGTGATTTTGCCGTCTTTGTGCCGAGCGCGCTGGAAAAACACAAAGACTCTCTTTTATATTTCTGTCCCCCCCCCCCCCCCCCCCCCCGCATCCCCCACCTCCTTAAACTCACTCACTCGGTTATTTATAGACGTCATCCCGTGAAAATTATTGGAATCATCCCGTCTTTGCCAGGGTGGAATTACAGGCCTGCTGCGTTTTGAATAAAGAGGGTTGTTGGCCGTCTGCTGACAGAATAATGGAGGCTTCTTATGCTCACATGAGACGTTTCCACTGCTGTTCTTGGTATTTGAGGAGCTCTCGTCCTCGTGACGTTGGGGTGATCGACTCTTTTGTTCTTTTCTCAGGATCCATCGGTGACGCAAGTACGACAGGCGGCTCCTCGCGGCTTGGAGGACTACAATCCCTTCACAGATGCCAAACCAGTGAGTCCTCAGCGCTCCAACCGCCACCAGTTTGTACATCCCATAGATCTCATCAACAGTAACCCGATTCCGTTTCCATTTTTCCATCTTTCTTGGTTTTATCCCCCTTTTAAAATGAGCTTTTTACATTGATATTAATTGGATGTAGATTCTTCCTTCCTGTTGCCAGTGTCAGCTCTGTTTCACCCGTTAGCATTGCTGCTGTTCTAAAGCCCCCTTAAGGTGTCACTCAGCACGGTAACAGCAGCGTGTACGTTCCCCCCGTAGGTGCCCCCTGGGATGGCGCCCAAGGCCGCCGTCAGCACGCAACCCGCCATCATGAAGCCCACAGACGAGCCGCCGGCCTACACGCAGTCGCAGGTACGACTGGCCCTCACCTGGCCCTCACCTGGCCCTCACCTAAACCTCACCCGGCTCTCACCTGACCCTCACCTGACCCTCACCTAGACCTCACCTAGACCTCACCTAGACCCCACCTAGACCTCACCTAGACCTCACCTGGACCTCACCTGGACCTCACCTAGACCTCACCTAGACCTCACCCGGCTCTCACCTGACCCTCACCTGACCCTCACCTAGACCTCACCTAGACCCCACCTAGACCTCACCTGGACCTCACCTGGACCTCACCTGGACCTCACCTAGACCTCACCTGACCCTCACCTAGACCTCACCTAGACCTCACCTAGACCCCACCTAGACCTCACCTGACCCTCACCTAGACCCCACCTAGACCTCACCTGGACCTCACCTGGACCTCACCTAGACCTCACCTGACCCTCACCTGACCCTCAACTGACCCTCACTCACTTCACACAGTCTCTCACCCTGCTGCCCCCCCCCAGGATATTTGGATTCATGGAATAATAAATGAGCTCTTTAATAGAGTCAACCAGAGCGTGAAGCCCGGTATGCTTTGGGGCGGGACTACGCGCTGAGTGACAGGCGTCTACCTAACATGGTCACTTCTTTTCAGTGGTTTCAAAAACCAAGATGGCGACTCGAGGCTTCAAACCGCATTCCACAAAGCAAAGGGTGACTTGCTCCACGGTCCCGTAGTGGGCGTGTCCTTATATACATGCGTGTGTTTTTGTGTAGGAGCAGTCGGGAGCAGCTGCTGAGCTGCTGAGGAGGCAGGAGGAGCTGGAGAGGAAAGCTGCCGAGCTGGACCGCCGGGAGAGGGAAATGCAGTCGCTGAGCGCTTCAGGAGGTCAGACGAGAGGAACGATGGACGGGCTCTGAGTGACTAAATGATGTAGACGAGAAGGTCTAGTGAATTATCTTCACTTTAGGAAATTACTTCCTCGTGATTTGACTCTATCGTCACGTTGAGACACGAGAGTCGATGTCCTCATTTAACCGTTGTGAAGAAACAAAAATGAGCATATTTCCCCCAAACCCAGAGCAGCTCCTTTGAAGCGTCTCCTCACAGCGTAGAACTTCCTCGTGTTTAAAACAAGTCCTCTTCTGTGCAGGTTGAAGACTTTATGGCATTTAAAGGTTTCTGCTGACATGCGTTTACTCTCCATGTTAACTCGTCTGCTCTCAGGCAGGAACAACAACTGGCCCCCCCTCCCGGAGAAGTTCCCCGTGGGCCCCTGTTTCTATCACGACATCGCGGTGGACATTCCTGTAGAGTTCCAGAAGACGGTGAAGATCATGTACTACCTGTGGATGCGTGAGTGGCCTCCTGCTCTTCATCTCTGTTGGATCGATGTGTGCGATGTTCTAACAGTTCAAACTGTTTGTAATTCCATTATTATTATTATTATTAATCAGCGTTCATCCTCCTGGAACACTTGCAGTGATCCACTTATCAAGCACCAGAGGGACGTTTTATACCCATGAGCCTTTGTTTCTGTGTCAACGTAAAACCGGAAACACTGCATGAAGGATTATGACGTCAAATCTTTAACTTGAAATTCTGTTGTTTCCAAACTTTGTTTTTGAACGAGTTCCTCGACTACTTTATCCACCCGGCGATGTCGGCCTTTATAACTCGTAGAGGAAGTTACAGATGAAAACATGTGGCCTTTAACTGGGTTCAATGCAAGAAAACGTTGATTATTTAGTAGTTAATTATTTATGTTCTCTATATTATTAACCCTCTGAATGGGAGCGATGCTCTTCCTCCCCCCCGGCCACCTAAGAGCGATAACGACAGGGAGCGAGTGGCGCTCGGCGGTCACATGACGGGGGCGTGCTGCAGTCATGTGACCCTGCTGGAGCGGGGTCGGATGATTGCTTAAAGGCTGCAGCATTAGAGCAGAACACACTCTCTCTTCTAGTTTTCCCTCACGGATAAAAAAGCAAAGAATCTCAAGTAAACGTAGAAAGGGGTCTGCAGCCCCCCCCCCCCCCCCCCCTGTGGTATGTCAGCGGGCTCGTGTCATATTCCACACACAGGCGTAAAATCCCCTTTGGCTGCGCACGCACAAATAAGGTCACCGGGCCCCTCCCAACCCTTCTTGGGGGGGCATCACCACGTCGTCTCCTCAACCTGTCGCGTGTTTAGTTTTAAGACCTTTTTTTAAAAATTTGCCGTCAAAGACGAGGCGTCACCGTGGACGTTCCCGATGATTCTAACGTGTGACCACTTCCTGTCTCTCCTGCGTCAGTCCACACGGGGACGCTGCTGGCCAACGTGTTCGGCTGCCTGGCCTGGTTCTGCGTGTCCTCGGAGCGCGGCGTGGACTTCGGCCTGTCCATCCTGTGGTTCCTGCTCTTCACGCCCTGCTCCTTCGTCTGCTGGTACCGACCGCTCTACGGCGCCTTCAGGTAAACGCCACGCGGCGCGTTCGCACCCTCGGGCGGCAAGTGGAGGACCTGCCGCTGTGTTGCTTATGTGTGTGCGTGTGTTTCTTTTCTCCTGCAGGAGCGACAGCTCATTCAGGTTCTTTGCTTTCTTCTTCGTGTACATCTGTCAGGTGGGCATCTACGTGATCCAGTGCATCGGCATCTCCAGCTGGGGCACCAGGTGAGGAGGCGGGAAAAAATGTATTTTCAAAATCGTTTTTATTGCTGTTTTTCATGACATCTGTTCAAAATGAAAAGACCGAAACCAACAATTTGGTGGTCTTCCCCTAAAGTGGCAACTATTTTATTTTATTTATTATTTTATTTTATTTTATTATGAAAAGCAAGTCAGTCATTTCCTCAAACATCTGGACTTTTTTCAAAGAGCTTTGTGTACGTGTAACTGTGTATTTGTTGGGGACTACTTTCAGCCGCGGAAGAATACACGCCTGATTGATCCGTGTAGTATTTTCGCCCGCGGGATGAAGTCACATGTTAAGCCCCTCCTCCTCCACTCTTTGTCCTTCTAATGACTTCCTGGTCTGCAGCGGGTGGATCTCGGCTCTGATTGCTCTGAATCGCAGCGTCCCGGTGGGCATCATAATGATCCTCATCGCCGCCCTCTTCACCGCAGAGGCCGTCCTGTCGCTCATCATGCTCAAAAAGGTAGACGCACGACCAAGAGTATCAATAACGACACGTTGATTTGTACAGCGGCTTTTTAAAAACGATAGAAGCAAGTACAGTGTCAACAAAAGAGTCGACGTCAGCAGCAGGTACGGCTCTCTGGTTTGTTTGATGGAACCGTAACGCGCCTCCTCCTCCTCCTCAGGTCCACGGGATGTACCGCACCACCGGCGCCAGCTTTGCAAAGGCCCAGCAGGAGTTCGCCACGGGCGTCATGACCAACAAGACGGTCCAGACGGCCGCCGCTACCGCCGCCTCCAGGGCCGCGCAGGGAGGCTTCAAGGAGCAGATCTGATTGGCTCATCTCCTCTTCCTCCTCCTCCTCATCCACTTGAGCCAACTGCCCTGTTTGAACACATGGAGAGCCCCTCCCCCCCCCCCCCCCTTGAGACAATATCCAGCCAGCAAGAAAACAAGCAGCGTGAAACAGATTCAATCAAGGTGAATGCTGTCGGATTGTTTTTAGAAAGCGCGTCGTCTTACTTCCTGAAAGCGACGCCCGCGGTCCCGAAAACTTGTGCGTGTGTTCATGATCCCCAGAGGATGAATCCTTTCCCTTTTTAACGCCTTCCCAGCTGTAAGATGAGAATGTGTCTTAGCGGTGAGCATGTCCGCGCGCTGCCGTTAGCATTCAGCTCAAAGCAACGCAATTTGAGCCCTGACGACATTTTAACAAACGCCGTTTGATTTGATGCGCTTGTGAATTCTGATTATTGGGGATTTTTTGGTTGAGGTATCACTCTAATGTTTGCTTTGCTGTATTGTTGTTGTGGAGTTTTGCCAAGTTGCACTTTAACTCTCTTGTCTGACGACCCAATCGGTGGATATGGAAGTATATTTATAACGACCCGCGTAGTCTCTCTCTTCTTCGTCATTTCCTGAGAAGTAAGTTTGTGAGTGACTGTCACACAGTGAAGACATCTGCTGCTCTGTTCATGCAGATGTTTATACGGCTTTTATTCTGCAGGGGAAAGTGTCACTCGTCTCCAGCTTTTCTCAGGATGTGCTCTTCATGTGCATGATCAGGTTAAAGGTGATATGTGATTGGATAGAATTGGACCCCCGACTGCCCCCCTGGTTTTTAAATACATGTGCTGTAAATCTATATATATATATATATATATATATATAAAGGCGACACTAAATGGGTGGGTATGTCGCGTGGTGGTTTGATAACCGTTTGCATATTCAGCGTTTGTGTAAATTGAGGGTCACTGAACTCCAGCAATCAAAAGCATCAAATCTGAAGGTGATTCTTTTATTGGGTCGAGTTCATTTCCAGTTTGTGCTCATTAGAGAAAAGAAAATGTCAAGTGCATTTTCCCCTGCTGAGATGTCTCTGAATGTGTTCTTTGTCCTGTTTAAAGCCAGTGGAGCCTTGGCAGGTTTCGGATGTGGAGGAGTGTAAATGGAGCCAATTTGGGCCTTTAAGTCGTAATCAGAGTTTGGGATCATTCTGGAATTATTCTTTTTTAAAGCCTCGTTTTGCTCTGAGTCTATCGTGTACAAAACAACTGGAGAATAATCCTTCAAACCAATCAAACCGAGTATTCACTCGTTATCTCTTTGACAAAATATCCAACGTGTTACATGTGGCGAGGACGTTGGTTGCCATGGGAACTGTGACGTGCTTCATGATCAACATGATTCTAGTAGAATGACCATTGATTCAATAGCATCTCTAACTACGACACTAAATCAAATAGTGAGGGATGTTTGTATATTTGTACGACTCGCAGACTTTCTCTGAGATCGCGTGTTTCAAAGATGAGCTCTGCTTCGACCTTCAGTCGCATGTTGTAGTTTTGTGTATTTATTGTATTAACACTGAATAAAAGCCTTCTTCTGTATGTAGTTAAACGCGTGGTGTATGTGGAGCACGCGGTACATTAAAGTGTGCTTTCAGTGGGGCTGCACCAGCCGACGGAGGCCAGGTGGGGTCAGCGGTCCGCAAAGGATGTGAGATTAAGACCACAGCTGCTCAAAGAATACGAAGCAAAGGTCACTTCTCATGTTTCGTCGTGGCCAAAAGGAGGCAAATCATTTATTTACATCAAGATAATAATTCAGCCGGGAAATGAAAAGCTGACAAGACACTAATAAAGATGAGTCCTGATGATGAACACTAACATTAAGTATCCAGCTAGCGTGCAACTAGCGACTGTAATGCTAACGTGAGCGAGTCACTTTCTAAACGATTACATCATCTTTTCATACGGGAAAAGCTGCTTGTGCCATTTGAATGGCGCTCGCGTCGGCCCCGCTGGTCACGTGGCGGGTCTGGAAGTCATCACAGCCCCGTTTGGGTTCCAGGGTGCTGGTGGAGGGACGGGACGCCCGAGGCTCCTCGGTGGGCCGCGTTTCTCCCGCCTGCCACACGGACAGGTTTCCACATTTTGTAGAGTTGTTATAATCAATATGCTCGTCGTAGTAGTCCAACGCCACAACGAGAACCGCGTCAGGAGCTGCAGCGCATACATGAGGTTTCCTTTAGGAAGCAGGTGATCCGAGCGGGTGGAACTAAGCTTATAGAGACTAAAAGAAAAACTATATTCTTCACAAAGTGAAGTGATAGTTGTAAGATGAGAACATGGACATGCTGTGATAGCGACCCGTCAATCACAGTAAGCCCCGCCCCTGCTCTGTCGTCTGACTCTAAATGACTGCTGGTTTTATAAATAACAATGTGTTTAAATGTAAACAAACACAAGTGGAATCTTGTGTTGCACTAAATCCGTTCACATATTTCGCTGCCTGTGCAGACAGACGTTTTTTGAAGACTTGTCTGCAGGTAACGAGACGTGGACACGATGCTTCTCGACCTTTTGCAACGTGTGACCTTTTCGTCAGATACTTTGACTTAGTTAAATGTGACACACACACACACACACACACACACACACACACACACAGAGTTCAGTTCTGCATCAGTGGAAAAGAACTGATCATCCGCTGGCTGGAAAAGTAGCCGCCCCCACCTTGAGGGCCAAACCGAGGTCTCAGCGTCTCCTCCCTCCTTCTTTCCTTCCCTCCTTTCCTCCCCACAATTAATGCTTCCCCGGCACAAAGAACTGAAACAGTCTTTTTCTCCTCCGTTCTCTTTATTCGTTTGACTCCACCTGTGACTCCACCTGTGGCACCTGAACCCAGACGTCACAACCAATAGCAACGCTGCGGGCGCAGCTCCCTTCGTCACCCTGACAGAAGTATCCTCCATCCGTCGATACACTCCGAGGGTTCGGACCACGTGAAGGAGGTTCATTCGGACTGAGTAGTGGTTCCCTTGTCGAGTTAACGGGTCGGCAGCTCGTGGTCTGGTGGCATAAAAACGTTGTTTTTTTTCTTCTAAAAGGCAAGAGTGACATCATCAGCCCAGCCAATCATTCTGCGATCATCACTATGTACAAATTATATATAATCACACTTATTTACAGAAGGTTTTGTGGCAGACGTACACAGTTAAACACGACGACACTGAGAAAAAAACTAAAACAAAAGAATCAACACTTGGCACTTGTGGATTTCTCTCCCACGTGAACACAAAACGGAGACAAACAAAAAGTCGGTATTAGTGGTAAACAACGCAGGCCTCCGTTTCACAGCCCGGCCTTATTAAAGTCAGAAGGGCCGGGGGCTCCTCTTCCTCTCCCTCTTCGCCCCCCGCGGGGCTAAAGTTCCTGGGCCTCAGAGCAGGCAGATGAGGCTCTTCCCCTCCTCGATCTCCTCCTGGACCTTGTCGCTGGACGTGGCGATCTCGGCCTGCGCGGAGAAGACGGCGCAGACGAAGGTGAGCACGGTGCCCCCCATGGCGGTGTAGAAGGCCCAGCCCATGGAGCAGAGCCCGGCCCGGTACGGGGACGCGTCGGCGCCGCAGTACAGCTGCACCTTCTCTGAACCCCAGCCGGCGGGGTACAGCATCAGACCCAGGATCAGGAACAGACCTGTGAGGGGGGGGGGGGGCGTTAAGATGTGATATGTAAATCTATGTTCAACACGTGTGAGGTTAAAAGGTCAAAGTTCTCGCTATCAACCAATGGAAGCGACCGATCCTCGTCCCAGAGTGAAACCACCACGAGTAAAGACAGGAAGCAGAGACCCCGAAAGCCAAACCCGCCCCCCCCCCCCGCCGCCGCCACCCCGCCCGCCTGCCGGGTCGCTGCACAACAACAGGAAAGAGGTCTGCTGGAGCGCTCCGGTCACCGGCTGACCCTCCGGGGGAAGACGGAGTCACTTCCTGTCCCTCCGGGACCAGTGGAAAGCAACTCGGCACATTCCTCTGCTACTTTCTTCTTCTGCTCCTCCGGATTGATTTGGTGTTATTTGAGATTAACAAATAAGATATAATATAACGTCAAGATAAAGATCAAATCAAACAATACTTTTCATTACTGTATGTCGCTTTTATCCAAAGCCAATAATTATTACCACGAGGGAAATGACTCATGCAATAATGAAGGAATTCAAACTAAGTGATGAGCACGTGCATCAATGATTAGAATCCAGTAATGTAATTTACCTTCTGCATCATTTGGGTGCTTTCAGTACATTTTATGCTCATACTCTGCAGGAGTATTTCTACACAAACTGCTCTCCTTATAGATTACACATAAACCACCTCTTCAAATCAATGTCTCGAGGTTTCTGCTCTGCTCGCCGTGACCTCGCTCGCCGGGCTCGACCAATCAGAGCGCAGGAGGAACCGCTTTCAATAATGCAATTACAGACAATAAATGAGCCAGTCTTTAACGTTTAGTCTCTCTGCTTCGCTTCACTAAAAAGCCAAACTGTCTCCTCTCCTAATCCCCCCCCCCCCCCTCGCTCTGCTTCCTCCTGCTCTCCCTCTTCAAGGACCAAATATCATTTAAACAAGGAAATGAAAACTAGGTCATAAATTCTTTCCACATGTTGCTGCATTGCTTTGACGTCCAGACCGACTCCAGTGATGGATCGAAGGCATGGTTTTAATTCACAGCCCCCCCCCACCTCCCTCCTTCAACACACACACACAAACATTTCACAACCCCCCCGACCCCCCCCCCCCCCCAAGCTGGACCTTCTAACCTAATACCCCTCTACACACCCTCCTCACTGCTCCATCTGCACTGGCTCTTGTCTCCGTTAACTTCCAAACTGTCAATTTCCACCATCAATCCATCCCTGCCTGCCTGCCACAACCCCCCCCCCCCCCCCCCGTGACCCCTCCCCCCACCCTTCAATACAGCACAGCAGGTCGGCGCTCAGCTCCAAACAAATCTGGCCGCCCGTTTTCTTTTCCAGGAAACCGATGAAGTGAAATAAGGAGAAGTGACAGCGGCGTCCTACTGACTTCTTAATAAACATGTATTATTATTTGGTTTATAAACCCGCGAGCAGCTCGGTCCTCAAATGGCTTGTTTTGTCCAACAAAGTCTCCAATTGAAACATGTTTGATTAATTCCAACGTGAAAAGCAGGAAATCATCAGCTGTAGCGACTTCATTTATAGTCAAAATAATGTCAAACAAATAATGGATTGATTAATTATTATAGCAGCTCTTTTCGAGCGGCGCATTAAACATTTCTTGTGAAAACAGAGTTTGGATTCATACAGGAAACAGCCGGTTTGTTTTGGGCTGAAAGATAAACAGCCCGGCAATAAATCCTCCTTTCACGAAGGTCACAAAGTTCAGTTACCGAGAGGCGTCGATTCCGCGCGGTGAGCGTTACGCGGGCGGTAATCTGTTGGCTGGTCGCCGAGCGGCGTGCGTAACACGTGAGCCGAGCTGCAGCCGCGTGCGTCAGGTGACTGACTTTCCAGTCTCGCTGGATTTATTGACTTTTTATTGCGACGGCCTTCTGAAGTTGTCATGGCACCATGTCGGCAAAGTCACCTGTTCACAGATCAAACCACCCTCTAACCAGCGAGGGAGGGCGGGACAGGCGTTTAAGCCTCGGGGGGGGCGGAGTCTCGCCAGGTAACAGGTAACAACCCCCCCGACCGAAGGACACTCCTCCTTTTACCTCTAAACTCATTCTCCTGATGATACCTCTGTGTTTTTGAACATTTCAGGCTGAAATACTTTTATTTTAGTGAGTGTTGTGACCTTTGTTACCAAACAGGGATGCATTTCAGACAACATCATTAATTAACATATAGTCTCTCCCTTTTAGCTCGGTTTTTAGTCTCCACCAGCTCTGGAGCGTTGCAGTAAATACATATTTAATAAAAGCAAAAGAGATGAGGTCAATTATAATAAAGAATTAGCGCTTAAAACATTCATGTGCTCTCCTCAAACAACAGTCATTGCACGTTGATCCTTTAGGTTAAAAACTCTGCACGTGCGTAACTTTGGATGGATGGAGACCGTCAACTCAGCACATTTGCACCTCATTGTGCGCACACATATCCAGTCAAAGCTTGGGGGGGGGGCGTTGGAATCCCACACTGTTCTCAGCAGCTGTGTTTCCCTCACACGTCTTATCTCAGGTCAGTCCTTCCTGTAAAACATTTTGTTTTTATTTGCCCTGGTTTCCAGCCTGGAGCTGAGTCACTCTGTGATCGAGGCCGGGGGGGAAAGTTTAAGGCAGGTAATAAAAAGCTTTTTGCCACCCGAAGGCCACAAGAAAAGGAAACAGTTTTACGGCCGAGCTTGCTCGCCGCCTCGTCTCTAATCCCTTTTTTGGGGGGGGGGGGGGGTCGAAGTTTAACGCGAATGACGATGAGTGAGGACGACGGCGTCCCGATGACCTCACATAGAATGAGGAAGTCCACGAGGAGCCTTCGGGGGGACGGGAGGGGCGGCGTGACCCTCCGCGCAGGAACGTCTGTTTTATCCATCGGATTACGTAAAGCGGAGGCAATCGCCCCATCGGCTGAAATCTTAAAACCATCTGAAACGGAGTCCACTTTAACGACATCGGAGACACCGGGCCGACGGAAAGTGTGTCGCGGGGGACAGAAGAGTAGGAAGTGACATCAGTGCGAGTGAACATTAGCTTAATGGGCTTCGGAGGCTGCGCGTGCAATGACGTGATCGTCCCTGGCAACGGCATCACAATCTTCCCATCTGAGGTCATCCCCTTCCCCTCCAAACATCTGCAGTCTGGCTTTGGTTTTCCCATTACCGAAGGGTGGGTGGGGGGGGGGGGGGGGGGTCGGCACGAGGAGCGGAAATATTGATTAGCGGGGAGTCGGTGTGGTGCGGTCGCCCCCCCCATTGATTGACTACGTCTACACGCACACCTTAATTCAGAATATGATGATATTTCCCTCCATCCAAGGCGGTAGGACCTGCTGATACCACTCAGATGGACGGCTGGATTCTGGTTCTCCGTCTTGTCTCTTCCTGCGGTGGAAATGAGTGAAAGGTTCCACGTGTTCCACAAACACGAAGGAAGGAAGGAAGGCCTCCCCCCCTCCTCCCCACCGCCGCCTCTTTGAAGCTCCTCTCGCCCCCTTTTCCTCCTCCGTATCCTCCTCACAACGAGGAGACTTTCCCCACTTTCATTCCAGACGCCAGACTCCCAGAGCTTTACATGGTAAATACAGATGTAGGTCATGTGACCCGATGCTTATTGATAGAGGCTTTTGTTATCGCAGATAGACCGAAAGTTTACACAGTGTATTTGTCTTCTGCTAACGTTAGCTTGCCCAGCTAACTAGCTTAAAAGTCTACAGCAGTAAGCGTTATTTCTCACACCAACAAGTATTTTGTTTTCCCAGTATTACACAAAGGTCAATTTATGACCGGTACTTTCACTATGAGCAGCTTTTCACATATAAACACTATCAATTCAAACTGCGTCACTGCTTCCTGGTTAGAATGCTAGCTTTCGTTGGCTTAATTCGGATGTTTGTGGCGTGTCGCCCTTTCCAATTTTTACGATGTATTTTTCTCTGGAGACCGAAACTTTAATAAATAATGTCAAACAATGTAGCTGTCAAATTTTGTGAATAACGTTTACTGATGTAACTACAAGAGTTTAATGGGGACTGAGTAAGAACCAAATACGCTACTAACTGCTACTCTACACTATACTGAGAGGTCCCAATAGAACCCAATAGAAACCCACAGTCACAATAGAACCCAATAGAAACCCACAGTCACAATAGAACCCAATAGAAACCCACAGTCACAATAGAACCCAATAGAAACCCACAGTCACAATAGAACCCAATAGAAACCCACAGTCACCATAGAACCCAATAGAAACCCACAGTCACAATAGAACCCAATAGAAACCCACAGTCACAATAGAACCCAATAGAAACCCACAGTCACAATAGAACCCAATAGAAACCCACAGTCACAATAGAACCCAATAGAAACCCACAGTCACAATAGAACCCAATAGAAACCCACAGTCACCATAGAACCCAATAGAAACCCACAGTCACAATAGAACCCAATAGAAACCCACAGTCACAATAGAACCCAATAGAAACCCACAGTCACAATAGAACCCAATAGAAACCCACAGTCACAATAGAACCCAATAGAAACCCACAGTCACAATAGAACCCAATAGAAACCCACAGTCACAATAGAACCCAATAGAAACCCACAGTCACCATAGAACCCAATAGAAACCTACAGTCACAGCACTAAGAAACTCCACATGAGTCACTCCCCTTCTGTTTGTCCTCATGGAGCTCGTGTCAAACTCCTCTGCCTCCTTACGGCTCCAAAGCTAAACCCAAAGTAGCATATTTAGCAATCCTTCAGCAGCATGTGGAATTAATATAAAAATCTAATATTGCCTGAAAGGAGTCCCGCTCATTGACACGCAACACCGCCCATGAATACCTAACGCACCAGAGATACGGTCATAAAAGGGAAGTTATAAATTCATATCGGCGAAACCCGACCTCTGCTTGTCGTTCCAGGTCGACGGAGCAGCAAGAGCCTTCACAACGACGCGTCCTTTGCCACACGCCCACCTTTCTCGGCTTGAGCCTGCAGCAGACAAACAGCTGTGGGGGGAGGACGGCCATGTCCTCACCACCACCAGCACCACCGGCACCACCCGAGAGCCGAGAGCTGCAGTGTTTTGAGGGGCAGGAGGAGGATCGGCGGTCATGATCTCATGGCCTCCTCCCTTCCACGGCTCACCGCGCTGAGTCAAAGTGGCCACAACCAAAAGGACGCACACCCTTCGCACACAAACACAGATACGCAGGCGCTTTTAACTTCGAACTGTTTTTAAGGCCAATTGAGCAAAAGAGCTCCAGCTGAATATTTGGGTGGCAGTTGCTCCAAAGAAAACAAAATCTTGAAGGTTCACAGATACTCAAAATGAAGGTTGGAAGGGAGAGAGTTAAAAGGTTGGACCGGGACGTCGGATCGAAAGGTCATTTATAAAGGTGTTTGACCGCCTGACAGGCAGCTCAGACGAACACACAAACCTCGGCTATTCTTCACCCTCTTTACCCGAAGCGCACGCTTCACCGTGGTAGAAACTCTGAGACATAAACACGAGATCCGTCCTCACCTGCGATCCCTTGCAGCAGCCCGCACACGTTGAAGATGCTCTTCTTCATGATGCTCTGGAAGCACATGGTGAAGACCGAGATGAACGCCACGGCACACAGCAGCAGGATCCCCGCCGCCAGGAAGATGGAGGTGGCCTGCCAGAACCCGCTGGCGATCTCCCCAAAGTGTATGGCGTACGGCCCGCACAGTATCCGGCGCTTCAGGTGGGGCAGTTTGACGCAGCGGCCGTAGATGCCCAGCGTGGGCCGGTAGGCCTCTCCGGCCGCCGTGGCCCCGTGGGGAGCGAAGCCGGCGTCGGGGGTGCGAGGGAATCCGACCAGCCAGTCGGTGCTCATGAAGGCGATGAGCTCCCCGAAGGCGGCCACGATGCTCAGCAGGGTCCACAGCATGGAGCGGCAGGTGACGATGACATGGCACATGGCGGAGGACAGCGGGAGGCCCGACAGAGCCGAGGACGCGAGGGCGAGTGAGCACTTTCCGTGTGAGGGGGGGAGGAGCGGGTGGCGCCAAGCGGGTTCACGTCAATGATTCACAGTCCGCGGCTTCTCTCTCTCTTCTCTTCTCTCGTCGGCTTCTTATCTCTGGTGACGTTCGGGCCGCGGATGTTCTTCCTCCTTCAGGCTCTTGTTCTGTTGGCTTTTCGGCGTCTACATTGTATTGAGGTCGCGCTCCCTCGGCCAGCCCGCTGGCGTCACATCAGACACACCTAAGAGACGACACGGGGACACGGAACAACAGGCAGGGCTTTAATTTGCGTGTTTGGAAAAGGCAATTGCATGTGCAAAAGAAAGGAAAAATAAGCTCTTCTCTCTCGCTTTCTACAAAGCAGAATGAGGAAAGTGTGGAGGAGGAGGAAGGGACGTTTTAATGGGTTGTGTGGGGGCTGTTTTCGTTTGAAGCGTCCTCTTCTGTCTCCGCCGTGTTTACGTTAGAGGATTTGCGATCACCCCGCCCGGACGCGCCCCCTCCCCCCCCCCCCCCGGCGGGCTCCTCTTCCAAGGAGGTCGCGAGGGTGAAAGCAAGGACAACAGCGTGGAGGTGGAAGACAGGAGAAGCGGATGCAGACAGACAGAAAAACAACGGCGGCCCCCCCGCACGGCTGTCTGCCACTGACCTCGGTGACATCGAAGGCTGAGGAGGCCGTCGGTTTGGTACCAAGCGGCCGATAATCCACCAAGAGTTCGGTTTAGACTCTGTGACATTAAAGAAAATACTCTTTTTCCCGATAAAGAAAACACACATTCCGGTAAAAGAGCCCTGAGGATCCCCGGAAACACGACTTCTACGTTCGTACTCGTTCATCTCCGAGAGACATTTGGGAACTCGGGTCTCCGTGTTAGAAATGCAGCTGCGGCTCGGAGCGGACAGTCGATTCTTTTCTTTTCTCGGGACTCCTTCAGTCATCGGGCGCCAGAGGGACCCGGCGGCCGCCGTGGACACGTGTGCCGTCCGCACTGGGAGGTCCCTCAAAGCGGAGCCTGTGATCCTGCAGCGATATCAACAACGGTTCTTTTTCCACCCCTTCTTCTTGTGTGCGTGTGTGTGTGTGTGTGTCTGTGTGTGTGTGTGTGTGTCTGTGTGTGTGTGTGTGTGTCACAGATGACATCATCAGGGTCAGGCAGACAGCCGCCTCTGTGGGATTGAAACCAAAACTAATTTCATGAATCACAAAGTGTTCTCGTCGCCTCACAGATGCCGGCTCGCATTCACTGATTGGACATTTTCAAACCCCTCCAGTAAAATCTCCCCAGTAACCCCCCCCCCCAGTCAACCCCCCCCCCCACACACAGAAAGACCGTTGAGTTCCAGAGATCCTACCTGACTGCTGGAAAACACTTGGAAGCGGACGCAATTTGATCCCGCTGGAAGCTTTGAGGACACCTAACCTATGACGTCACATGCTTGGGGGGAGGGGGGGGTGCATGGGGGGGCGGGTGCATGGGGGGGGGGCATCATTAGTTTACACGCTTCAGGGTGCCCCCACCACCCCGTTGACCCGCAACGCTGATCCCCATGCATGCAGATGCCAGAGGGAGACTCTAATGCTAAATGCGATGCTAATTGCCAACGTTTGGCGGATACGTTCAGCGTGCCGACCGCGTCACCCTGCTAATAGACAGAAAGTACAGCATTTGGTCTTAAAACTAAAGCATTCAACATTTGAAGAGATGTTCTGAAGAAAAGCCACGGGATCAGCAAAGTTATTATAATTCATCCTCAGGGGAAATGAATGTCTGTTGCGAATGAGATTCTTCAAACGGAGTTCTGCTGTGGTGACGGAATGCAGCATCGCCCCGTTTCCCCACATCAAACGGCCAATGGGATTTTTTTTTCCCCCCCTCCACCGGTGACTTAAGGCTGGCACAGCAGGAGAGCTCTGGTGGTCCACCGGAGTCCTCACGGTTCCAACCTCTGGGGATCACGGATGTCCGAACCCACCTCCTCACCAACGGTTGTGTGCGCGGCAGCCGAGCGACGCGTCACCATGGAGACCGTGTGTCCTCAGCCGGATGGGGCAGCTTTTACCGAGTTTATGACGAGCTTCCTTCATTGTGTTCTTTCACGTCCTACGCATTGTCCTCTCCTGCCTTAACGCGAGCCAACAAGCGCAGCGATCTGCACACCCGGGGAGCTCATGATCTGTGGGGATCTGTCGGGATGGGAAGCGCCTGCAGCTACTGAGAGGGGGGGGGAGTGCAGGAGGCGATTGGTCACGGAGGACCACAATTGCTCTTCCTGTCACACAACGCCTCCGCTCCACCATGGAACACATGGCGGGATGTCAACGGGCGGCAAAACCTCCATCTGATTTTGTTTAAATTTCGCAGCTCTTTCGCGTTAAAAGACAGATCAAGTCTGTCATTAAAGGAGAGTTACAGCAGTCTTTCCGAAACGCGCACCCTGGAGCTCGTGGACTCTAAACACAATATTTACATCCGTTCACATCCGTTAGTGTGAATGAATGAAACTCACCCCTTAGTTAGAAAATACAGGGCGATTGGATTAAAACAAACAGCCCAACCGGTCTCCATTCGTCTCCTGGAGAAGTGGCTCCTCTGCCCCTCGACTCTCCTCCTCGGCTCACACACGTCCAATGCTCCACTCGCTCTCCCGCCTCCTCAGGCTGGCGACTGCCGGACCCTCCCCCCGGACCCCCCCCCCTCACCCGGACGGCCACGTTCCCTCTGATTGGCCGAGCCCCGATCCCCAGAGCCACGCTTCTTGAGAGAGTCCACATGGTGGCCATATTAGCGAGCTCGATCTGGGTTAAAATAACAGGGAGGGTCTCTCACCTTCTCGCTCGCGTCGGATTACTTTCTCTGCGGCGTCTCATCAGCCCGAATGATGGAAACACATACGGACCTGAACCCCACAGCATTGAGTTTACTTCTGTAAATGAGCCTCGTTTCAAAGAACAGTGAAAGTGCTCTATTGCTATTTTAATACAAATTACAAGTAAAGATCTTTACCGTGTTAAAAAAGTGTTACTTAACTGTGTATTTCCACTGTGTTCTACTTTTTAATCCAGCGACATCTTGAGTTACAAAGTATAAATAAACCAATAAACGACCACGTACTAAAATAGATTAAGACCATATTGATCATTTTGGAAAAGATACCTTTTTATTAATCATTTACAGCTGGTTTAACATCCTATTAAAGCACGTAGTGCTCCTCGGCTCTCAGTAAAAGGTTTGTAGGCACATCTTGTGCCTGGGTGTCCCGTTAACCGACTGCCGGACCAGAAGCTTCTCTGCCCGACTGACGAAGGGCAGCAAAGTGTTGGAGGACTGCTTCCAGCCGCAGTGGGAGGCATTCAGCCGACGCCGCGCCCGGCCACAGCGTTCGTCCCGCTTCCGCGTCCGCAGAACAAATGAGTTCCATATGAGGACGGAAAAAAAGGGGGCCTGACTCCGGCAGGAAGAGAGGCCGATACGCCGACGCATTGGAAAAGGGGCCTTTCTTATCAGTTTGAATGGAAGTCAAAGCCAAAAATAGTTCCTTTTTTTTCCACCTTTGTGAGTTGGACGGGACGAGGTCAATGGACCTTTTTAAAGTCACACGTAATCTGTCCAGGATCACAAGAACGCGGTGTTTGCAGAGCAGCTCTGTCCATGGATACCGTTGTCAAGGCAGTCGAAAAACAACCCCGGACTCCTTCCTCAAACAATGGCTGCTTGATGTCACACAGAAGTAAACAAAAGCAGACTCCTACTGCACCTTCTGCCCGCCGGAGCATTTCAATGGACTTATATTTTCCTCCCTCTGAACATCCAGTTATGATGAATGACGCTAAATGATGTTGCGCTAAAAGACTGAGGCTAATGCTAGCATGTAGCACGCAAAAGTTGGCGATCCATCCAGAGGCCGCAGTATGCAGGTGAGCCTGTTTCTCTGCTTTTAACTTTTATATTCAAACAAGACATTTCCTCGCTTTAAAAGGGCCAAAGAGGGAGACGTAGCACTTTTCCTTTATCCATTAAATTGCAGGAGGGAGCTGCTAACGTTAGCCTCCAGGCCCAGGAGCACATCATTCTACCATCAGTATCTCCTCATGGAAGAACTGCGTTCGCAGCTCGTTTTGGTGTCAGACTCTCAAGTGAACTTCAGATCCTCGGGCCGCGTCTGAAGCCAACGCGGCGGTGGAAACACGCACACAGATCAGACGCAGGCCGCCCGCGTATCGCCTTACAAGGCTAATGGGAAGCCGCCGGCGGCGCTGCGCGCTAAAGATGCTGCAGGAGATTCCCGATGGTTCAGCCCTCGGAGGGGCCGCGACGAATAGCAGACCGACTCGCTTCAAAAGACCAGGAAGATCTGAGGAGGGAGGAGGGAGGGGGGGGTGGGGGGGGGTCCAGGTTAAACCATCGGTCGCACGGATCTAACAGAACTCGGCCTGTGAGCCATCTGTCCCTGACAGGCGGTGATCAATAGTGCTGTAGATCTGAGGAGAGGGGACGAGTGTGAAGCGAAGCCGAGTGAAAGATGATAAGAGTCAGATAACAAGTCGGCTGGGGGGCAACATGAAACATCTTGATGCGTTCTGACTTTGGAAATAAAACAGGAGACGCCACATGTATGAAGAACCCTTTTGAGGTTGAAACAAATCTAAATCTAATCTTAGTGACAGTAACGGGTGATTCAATCAAACGTTCGCCACAATGGTTCCTGAGTGCTTAAGGAGTGTCCCTCCTGTATTATCTGCACCCCCATATACAGAGAGAAGCTTTCACAGAAGACCATCGACGCATCTAAGAGCGAGAAGACCACGTCTCTCCTCGTCATCGTGAAACAAAGCGACGAACACCACAACGAAACAGCAAAGCGCTCCGCGTCCACAAACCCGTGACCCCGGACTTCCAGGGCGGCGATTTCACCCGGCCGAACCCGAGCGCTTGATTTCTGGCTCGCGTGTCCACACATGACTCCCAGATGTGCTTCACCGATGTCTGAATGACGGGGTTTTTTTTCCTTCTGTTTTTGTTCTCCACGTGTTTTCAATCCGGGTCTTACGTCAGCGGCGTCCGGCCCGAAGAGGACACGCCGGGGTCGCTGGGGACGGACCTGATGGGTGCAAACTGCCCGCCCCTCCCCCACTACAAAACACGCAGCCCTGGAGGCACATCCTGAGAGGTGGGGGGGGGGGGGGGGGGGGTCTCCATTCAATCAGAGGGGCCTGAGCTCCCACTGACGTCTGATGTTAAACATCTCGCTCACAGCTCGTTTATACCAATGAGAGCAGCTCGCTGAGCGACGCGTTTCACTGTAAAGCTGCATTAAATGTTTTTCTGCTGCAGCGCATCGTTACTCACGTCCCCCCCCCACACATCTCATTCATGCATTCAACACCGAGCCGTTGGTGTAATACGACAGCTGACGGGGGGGGGGGAGGCAGATGTTCCCCCACATCGTTGTTATCCATCACGCTGCGGTGCTGGAGAGGAATCTACGCCGCCTATATCGCTAATTTATCAACCTTCTCTTGGGGAGGGGGGGGGGGGGGGGGGTCCCAACACTGGAGACGGGAGCGTGGGAAAGAGAGGAGGGGGGGAACAGATCCGAGGGGGGGGGGGTTCTGCACACCTGCAAGAGGCGCGGAGCTAAAAGAGACGCAACACCTCCGTGGGAACGCCGCAGTAAATATACGAGGGGAAAAAGAAAACGATTCCAGTCCTTTTGGAGTCGATGGACACGGAACAAAAACACACAAAACACTCACACCTCCGTCCCACCTCGCCTGCCCCCCCCCCCCCCATAAAACATCTGTTCATGCAATCCCTGGCTGGAGCGGAGTAGGAGGAGCAGGAGTAACTCCAGTAGGAGGAACAGCTGTGCCCCCCAGGAGCAAGAGGAGGAGGGAGGAGGGGGGGGGGGGCAGGAGGTCAACGATCCCTCATCTTCTCGTATTGAGCAGAGCAGGCCTCGCCGCGGGGTTGGGGGGGGGGGACAAAGAGCATCTGACACATCGCAGCGGCCTCTGAGTGGGTGGCCGACAGTGGACAGATTCTTTTTGGGGGGGGGGGGGGGGGTCAGACGGGCGGCTTAATATCAGCCGGTGCTGAGATGAAATAACGACACGCTAACGTCTCGTACATTTCAGCAATTTAGGTGCTAAAATATACAAATGTTTAAATATCAATTGGAAAAATATTGAGCTGCATTCCTCACACCTACTTCCTCTGACTGCTGATGCACTGGGGGGGGAGGGGGGGGGGGGGGACTCAACACTTCCCCAGTGTCCCCCCACTGTTGCTGCAGAGTTTGGGGGCCCTCAGGTCTAACACTGGTCTCCATTATGTTTAACCACTTCCAGCCCCACCTCAGGCCCTGCATACAGCCTTGGGGACCATACACACTGGTGGTGGTGGGGGGGTACATGGGAGGGGGGAGAGGGGGGGGGGGGCTTCCACTTGAAATCCCCGTGCTTTTGTTTCCCGGGCCAGACTCAGGAAACCAGCCGCTGTGCTGAGCCGGGTGGACGGGATTTGGAGGCATTGTTCTCACCGGGTTTTGTGCTTTGGACGGTGCAGTTTAATCCCAACTGCCCTGTGGCTCCGACACAAACTCCCCAGGCCAGCCAAGACCTCCCCCGCTGCTTTATCAACCCCCCCCCCCCGGGGGGAGGGGGTGGGCGCGGGACCTTGCTGTTGTGGGCAATCCAAGCTTAACCTGATACTCCTCCTCCAAAACAAAAGTAAGCACCGCCGAAATGAAGGTTGGCACCGGACTCTCTGGAGGTCGGCATAATAAAAAGTATCGAGTGATAAGAACCCCCCCGCACACACACACACACACACACACACACACAATGCCCCCCCCCCGCTCGCAGGCCCTTCGGCGAACCGACGGCAGAAGAGACGAGGGATGGAGACAAATGAGATGGGGGGGGGGGCGGCGAAGCAGAGAAGTGAAGAAGCGTGCTGCGTTTGTCAGAGCGGTTCCGGGGGGGGCGAAGCGAGACGAGAAGGACAAAGACGTGATTGTCCAAGAAGTTTTTCTTCTTTGGAAACAAAACGAATGTCCGATTCCAGCCGACTTCTGTCTGATTTGGGATTCGTTGAAAATGTGTCGTCTTGCATTTCCCAAACGTCCCGATAGGAAACCGCAGGGGGGGGGGGGGGACACTGGTGTGTCCCAGTATAGAGCAGGAAGACAAAGGAGGACCAGGGAAAAAAAAACAAGTGTGAGATAACAGGAAGTGTCTCCTGTTTTCAGACAAACGATTCTTCTGTTTATTATCTCAGCGGGGGGGGGTCCCACTTTGAAATGACCTTCATCACAGGTGGTCCCTGCTCATCAGCTCTCACGCCGTTGTTTTCCTCCACATTGGAAAAACATGGCCGCCCCCACACCTTCCTCCTCCTTCCAGATAAACACCCAGAGTGAAAGTACAGCGTGAACCTCTGAGACGATTCACAGCGTGAAAAGAGGAAAATATACAATCTGACAGTTTATTAGAAACAACTCGGGAGATCCGGAAGATCCGTAGTTGAATTAAAAAAGTGGCTGAAGTATCAATGTGAAGTATAACACACAGTGACCCCCCCCCCCCCCTCCGTCGTGTCCCCGTGGATTCATCGGATGTGATTGAAGCG